AGCGGGCAGGGCGGGGCGCGCGGCGCGGGAGCGAGCCTGGCGCCCACCGTGGAGACTGTCGCAAGGTGCCGAGGTAGGGGTCGGCGGCGGCAGGGACTTGGAGTGGGGAACTGGGGTGCGGACGGCTGAGCCGCTCTGTGCAGCGAGCGTGTTGTAGAGGGGTGGTCTGCGAGGCCGCGTCTACGTGGGCAGCCCGGACCTAGCGTGCAGCGATCCCCACGGTGTCTCCAGGGCCAAATCCGCGGGGTGGCTCCTCGAGCCTGCGTCTGTCTAAGCCAGCTATGCGGGCGCCCGGCCACCTACGTCCCTTCCGCAGATGCTGTCTGCGGGACTGCATAGGAGCCCCACTCATGGTGCCCCGGGCCCCGGCTCTGGGTGGAGGCCGTGTCTATGCGGAGTGGGCCTGGACGGGTGCACCCACGTGTGGATCTCGGCGGAGCGCTCCTCCCACGGCCCTCCCGTGAGTCTTCCGTGGAGAGCTGGGGGCGGGGTAATGAATGAGACGGATGCGGCGAGCGGCTTCAGCTGCTGCGTAGTCGTCCCCTGGCTGAGGGTGGCGGAGGCGGGCGATGCAGCTTCTGGTTCTGGTGGGCACAGGATTGGGGCTCCGAGGGTGCACACGTGCGCCGGGAGCTGTGTGTGGTGTTTGGAGGCGGGTGTGCGTGCGTCACGTGGACCCAAGAGTGTGCTTGTGTACTTGGGGGTGGGGTGCGTTTCAGGATGGAGTGGTGTGTGAGCACCGGTCACGAGGACATGGGTTACATATGTCAAGGAAGGGGTGTGTGCTTGTCTTGAGGGTGTTGCAGAGTGAGCAGAGCTCTCTGTCACATGCCCTGGGTCCCAGGACTGTGTTCCAGTGAGTGCCTCTTTGTCTTGGCCAGGTTCAGGATGTGAGAGAAACACACAGCTTGTGTCCTTGAAAATTCCGGGGAAAGGGAAGAGGCCAGGCCTTCTCCACATCCTTGTCTCCTCCATCCAACACACACTGTGCACAGGTCAGACTGTTCTAGACCCACACACTTCAGGGAGCCCACTGCTTGCTCCTCCACACTCAATCTTCACAGCAGAAGTGGGGGTCATCTTAAACCTCATCCGACAGAACTGCTTCCCTGCCTGGTGTTGGAGGCCTTCTGGTTTCTGTCTACCAAGGCCTGCCCAACCCCACACCAAGCCCTTAGTCCCACTTTGGGAAGGGACCTCTCTTAGGCACAGGGTGAATCCCTAACCCCCAATCCTGCTTAGTGGTCAAAAAAGTACTTCAATGTCACCCCCCTCGAGGAAACACCCCCGAGGCCAGTGTAAGTAGACCGTGTCTTCTCTCCAGATGTACCCCTCCATCAGGGACCTCTCACGCAGAGGAAGCACCTTCCCACCTCATGGCACTTGCTTCTATGGGCCAGTCCCTCTGACTAGAGATGCCCTTCCCCAGACGTCCACACTGTTTACTGC